TATATATATATATAATTCTAATATAGAATGTATATATGATTATTCTAATATAGGATGTGTTTGTCTGAGTATATTAACCCACTAGCTCTGCAGGGTGGTTTTTATTCACAGTTTCAGCTCAAGTGCAATGCCTGATATTATTGATTATGACTGGGTTATTTGAGACGGTCATATTGCTTTTAGATGTTTCTTTTTCAAAAACACGGATGATATTATTATTGCAGCATTATCATGTTTTTTCTCGTATTTTTTTTTTCAACTGTAGAGCAGGCATATACATAACATCATAATGAGAACATTATAGAATATCATGAATTATTTTTGCTTTCCTTGCACATGTTTCCTTTACTCGTTTTTTGAGACTTATCAGTGATCGAAATAAGAAATTGGGAAAAAATAAATGCCCATCCCTTCTAAAGTTGCATTTATTTAATCAAAACAGTAAAAACAGTAATATTGTGAAATATTATTACAATTTAAAATGTTTTCTGATTGAATTTATTTTGGTCTATAAGATTTTTTTTTTTTATTATCAGTGGTGAAAACAGAAAACTAAATTTTAACAAAAAAATATACATTTTATATATAAAAATATATATATTTTTAGAATTCTATGATAAATAGCAAGTTCAAAAGAACTTGCATCATTTACAACAAAACAATGCAAATGCCTTTACTGTAACTTTTGATCAATTTAATGGATCCTTGCTGAGTAAAAGTATCAATTTCTTAAAAAAAGAAAGAAAAAAAAAAATCGGTTACACTTTATTTTAAGGTGTCCTTGTTACAGTGTAATTATATATTTAACTGCTGAGTAATATTAATTAACTACATGTACTTACTAGGGATGCTCCGATCGATGGCCGGAGATCGGTATCGGCCGATTATCACATTTTATGATTCAATCGGTACTCACTAACTTGGCCGATCTCACGAACCGATCGCAATTTGATGACGACAACGCCTGACGACGTACATGATGCGTGGGGACATAAATGATTTGGCGCCACAGTCATGTCATCGCTGGTGTGGAAATGCTATGACGTTTCGAGAAAAAATGAAAAATTCGTTATTTGTTGTGTATGTTTTGCATGATGATATGATGAATGGATGGTTCATTTTTAACAGCAGATTCAGTGACGTTAGAGCTGATCTGCGCCTCACTGCACGCGTCTAGCGGCGCGTTGCGGCTCCACGGCAACCGGAGCTGATCGTGGCCACTCTAATGCTTGTGTTTCTGAAGCGGCTCTCCGTGCTGCTTGGCTAAAAATAGTATGTTTTTTCAATTTGCATGTGTTTTCTTAAGTTGCAGTGCGTTGAGCTCTCTCGGCCACCGTACTTTTGTGAGTTGTCACAGTGTGGAGGACGGAACAAAACCTTGTCGGAGCCGTAAGGGATAACGGTAACATAACACGCTGATTGTGGGCTGCTTTTAAATTAACATTTATTTATAAAACAAAATATCTTCTTTGGCCATATTAGCCTACTCAATAGTATTAACACAGACTTTACTCCTTTCAAACTTTATCTGGAATGTCACCGTTTCTGTCACTGGAACTTCCCGATCAGGCGAACGAACAAACACGAAATCGTCTGCCTCATGAAAAAAAAGTATTAAAAAAAAAGTAGTTAATATTTGCATCATTTATGATTTATTTTATCCACCCGTGACCCACCAGCAAATAATCAGAGTGCATTTTTTATTACCCGACCGGCGGATTATCCGCAGCGCCCGTAGATATAGGAAAAGCAAAATATGTTTGCTGCATAAATCAGATGGATTTACTGAAAATGCAAATTCATTCTCTGCCAGCAGGAGGTGCTTTAAAGCGGAGATTTAAAGCACCTCACAAACGCTGCTTTATCAGGCATATAGCTAACATGCAAGATGAAATGAAAATGACATCGAAAATTTTCTAAACATGGTCTTCCTTCAGAATTACAGTGATATAAAAACACCCACGCCTCATTTTGAGTTTTAAACGTGCAGTAGGCCTACGTGCTCATGTTTATTCAACAAAGCCTTTTGGAAAATCAGTCAGAAAATCCTGAAAATAGGCTAACTTCCGTCAACATAACCAATGTGACCACCTGCTTGCACAGGGAGCGTGCTGGGGACTATTTTCAGGCGCTGCGTAATATCATTGCGCCTGCTGCACCCATGGTACGGCAGCAAAGTTCCTTGATTATTACGCCGGAATGAGAGTATAGTTCCTAGCCATATCGGCCTAGAAAATTGCAACTTTTCATTTCCCTTCGGTCTTAGTACACGATGTAACTACAGAAGAGTCAAGTTTTAGATAGGGAAAATATAGAAACTCTTTGGTCATTTTTGAGCGAGATGCTAACGGTCTAATCAGATTCAATGATCTATGCTAAGCTACAGCTAAAAGTGCTACCGCCAGACCCGGAGATCGGCTGAATGGATTCGAAAACGGTAAAACTCAACTGTTTAACTCTAGGGGAGTTGGAAAATGAGCCTATTTTCAAAAACAGTGGAGTGTTCCTTTAACTTTAACTACGTTTGTAGCCGATGCCATAGCCAGACTGATAAACAAACACAGACCGGAAATTAACTTGTTAACGCCCGATGAAACAGTCTATATAAAGCTTGAAGCATCAGAATCGGTATCGGCCGATCACCATGACAAGAAATCGGTACTCAGTATAGGCTGCAAAAATCCTGATCGTAGCATCCCTAGTATTTACTATATGGTTTGTTTGGCTTAGGGTTACTTGCATGTAGTTATGAATAATTAATTGTTATTATAATAGTAAGTACATGTAACAAGGACACCTTAAAATAAAGTGTTACCACAAAATCTTACTGACCTGATCGTTTTTACCCCCACGTAAAATATGGAAAAATGTTGTTTTACTTGCATCTTCATGTACAGACTGCTGAGACCCACCATGACTTTGTTCTGTATATTTTACTTTGGTAGCTTTGTTTCAAGAATGTTTTGACACAGTTCTGGAGAAATGGAATAAAAGAAAAAAAAAGACTTTTGGTTTCACAGCTAAATGTAATGGTAAACCTTCCACTAAGGTGAAAGTTGTTAGAAGACATGTGACAGTCATTAAGCTTTTCTTTAGCTGAATCGCTAGTGTTGCTTACTTCAGTGATGCTCGACTGTTCCTTTGTTCCTCAGGAATGAGTTCTGGACAACAGTAAACATACACAGATGAGTTCCAGACTGTGCCAGAGCACTCACTGCTAAACACAAATGACTTCTAGAACTATAGGTTTTACTAACAAAAGATGCATATAGTGATATAATTATTTTGCAGCAAACAAACACTCATTAACTTTACTCATAAATGCACAAACCTATGAAGCTTCACTAAATACATCCATCCCACAGCACATGTATAAAATATCAGCCTGCTGATAGATAGACTATTGTGCTAAAAAACATCTAAAGTCAGAGCAAAAAGTCTGCTCTGGGACTTCTTTAAGATGCGTGAACGTGTTCTTGCCTGTGTGTATTTCAGCTTGAGCAAATGAACTAGACTCAAGGTGTTACAATTTTTCAATTTAATGCTGCAGGTAAAGGTAGTGATGTTACCGCTAATATACTCTAACAATTTGCTTTCTCTCTCTGTTTTTTAAAGTCCATATTGATTTTGGCATTAGAGTTTGTATTAGAGTAATTCTTTTAAATGTCTTGAGTTCAGATTCATGTTCTCAGAGGTGTAAATAGGTGCTTGGATCACACACCATCTGAAACATTTCAGTTTGTCATATAGGTTTTCGTTGCACTTGTGAAAGGTGACAGACAACACAATCCCAGCAGTGCTAGCGTGGCAGTATGGCCTTTTAAAGAGAGCAATTTACTAGCCTTTCTGTATAATAAAGTAAAGTGTAAATGTAGATATGTGTAGATGGTTAGATATGTGGTTAGTCATTAGCACTAACTAAATAAGCCTACACCTTCAGTCTGGGTATAAAACAATGATGTGTTTGATCAGTTTGTGCATATTTGAATTTTCATTAAGCTTTATTGAATCATAGATTACATTCCAGTGGCATCCAGTCTCATTCATTGCAAGTGCTTAGAACCATTTTAGCAGTTGTGTGCTCATTGGTCTCTTGGAACAGGCCTGTAGGTTTGGTGTTTATATGGTTAGACACCATTTTATTTCATATGGCTGATTTTGTTTTAATCTAAATGTTTGTATGATGATGTTGTATATGAAATGTTATATAATGTGTCTATAGCATGCCTGTTCTCTGTTTGTGTTCTTTGTTAGAAGAGTTCTGTGTCTTGATTCTCTTATTTGCCTTTGCTTAAAAGTAATAATTAATCATGTTAAAACACACCCTGCTGTCCACACGAACGCGGTTATTTTTAAAACCGCAGCTTTTTCTACGCGGTTTGGCCGTTCGTCCACACACAAAGGCAGCACCAGGTCACTGAAACCGAACATTTTTGAAAACGCCTGCCAGGGTGAAGATTTTCAAAAACTCCGGTTGCGGTGTTATCGTGTAGACAGCGAAACCGGAGTTTTTGGCTTGTGACGTCAGAGCCTGCGCTGTTATCTCCGCCTACTGGAAACTTTTTCAGGCTTCTGATTGGCCAACATGGCTTTACGGTTGAGATTATATCACCACCTGTTGGTTTGGCATGCTCTTGACAGTGCTTAATAGCATGCGTTTGCGTTTTCATGTGGACAGAGATTTTTTTTAAAACGGGAGGAAAAACTCAGTTTATAAAAATACCCGTGTATGTGTGGACATGGCCTAAGTCCTCTTGAAAATATCCTACTTATAAATTCGGAAAAATTTTAGGTGATTTTCGTCAAAATAAAGTGAACTCAATGGACACTTTTCTCTTTCCATGCATGCACTACCTAAGTTTGGGATCTGCAAAACATAAATAAAAATGTAGTAAAACAGTAATATT